TCTTGATCCTAAATGGCATCTCCCTTATTTTTAAATTGTTCCCCCGGTTCTAAAATCCCCAACTAGGATAAATACTTTATCTGCATCTACCCAAATAAAAGCAAAATATCGTGGATGCTGGAAATCAAGAACAAAATAGTTTGGGGTTTTTCCCCTCAAAACAGAGAAGGCTGAGTTGGGACCTGATTGAGGTGTACAGAGTTATGACGGGCTTATGTAGGGTAGATGGAGAGAAACTTTTCCCTTTCATAAAGGGATAGTAAACCAGGGGTACAGTTTTAAGCTAGGAAACAGGAGGTTTGGAGGGTACTTGAGGAAAATGTTCTCACCCAAAGGATTGTGGGTATTTGGAACTATGACAATGCTATGGCTTTAAGAGGTGTATTTTGTCCTTTTCTTGTAATCAAGAAAGGTTGAGACAGAGGCACTAAGCAATATGCTTCAAGTCAATGAAGTAAACAGCTTTTGAGGTGTTGGGTTTTTATTTTAAGTTGGAACAATAGAAGCAGTCTGAATGGGTGGGGTCAAGCTCCCACAGAACTAGGATTTTAGTTTAGCTTTCAGTAGCTGTTGGGGTATGGAAGCTGCTATCTCTCCCTGCTATAACAAAACACTTGAGTTCTCTCTTTCTGAGTTTTTCTCTTGATATTCTTTCTTCCTGCACTAGAGAATTGCATGTGAGACAATCTAGTTTACTTAATTTGCGTTTGCAAAGTGTGTGTTTATGGAATATTACTATATTGGAACAGTTGCTGTTTAGTAGTTACATCATCTATCGTTCTGTTAAGTTCTCCAATAGAATTGTTATTCCAATCCTTCTTTCTTTTGTTTGTATTTTAACTATAGTATATTAATATAGTGTGTTTTGTTTCAAGCCTGGTAGTTTGACCAATCGAATTGCATCCAGAATGCAATGCCTGGCACTCACCTTTAAAATACAAAAAAGCTAGGGTCCAGACTATTTCCTTGACATGTTTTGAGGAGGTTCGGTCTACTCCACAACAGAACACATGGCCTAAATGGGAAGTTGAGGCAGGAACCACCAAGGTATTTAAAAAGTATTTTAATAAAGGCTTCAAATACCATGGCATTCAAAGCTCCAGGCCTATAGGATTAGAACAGATAGATGTTTAATGACCAACACAGACATGATGAGCTGAAGAGCCATTTTCCATGCTGTTAAAAGCTCTGTGACTCTGTAAAGAGAAAGTCTTGAGAAACTCAGTGTTTTTCAGCTTCTAAGATTCCTTTTCACACCTTCACATATCCATTTTGAATCTCTATCTCTCCTTTATCATCATTATCACTGCCTTTGTTCTGGGCACCCACACAATCGGTTCTACTTGCTCCCCCTACCACACTGTCAACAGCATAAAACCTACCATTTTTCAGTACTGATGAAGACTCATAGCAGACTCAAACTGTTAACTCTGCTTCTCTCTCTCCTGATGCTGCCAGACCAGTTGAGTTTCTCCAGCACTTTCTGTTTTAATTATCTGCAGTTAACCTGTCTATCCCTTTAAGTATTTTGTAGGTTTCAATGAGTTCACTTTTTATTCTTCTAAATTTTAAAGAATACAGGCTCCAGTTGCCCAATTTCTATTGATAGGACAGTCCTGCCATCCTGGGAACAAGTTGGGTGACCCTCATTACACTCCCTCAACAACAATAACATCTTTCTTGAGATAAGGAAACCAAAGCGGCACATACTACTCCAGGTGCAGTACATCATTCATTAGCTTTCATTCTGAAAGAAAATGTTCATTTGTTTAGTAATGCTTTTTGTATTGTTTGGATCCACCTGGTCGACCCAAACTACAAAGTATTTGCAGCTGAGAATGCACTTGGGTGCCATTCTCTCAGGACTCTGCAAATAGCCATTAGACAGCATGGAGGTTCCATTTTCCTTCATGGATCATTACTCAGTACCTTGACACACAAGTTTTCTGACACCAGGGAGCGTGCAACATAGAAAGTCAGAACTGCACCAACTACATTGTGTCACAGTATGGTTCAAAGAAATTTCACTATATTCATGTGGGCTCTTCTACTGCAGGGTATACTCAAATACGTAACTTAATTTGCCACTTGTACAGTCCTGCTGCTATGGTGTCAAATGGGATTTAAAATCCAGAAAACAAGCAAATCCATTCCTTCTCAGTCTCAGATTTGTTCAAATCTGGGAAATAAGTGACCAAGACTAAAGACAACATTAATATTTCAACTGTTTCTGAAAAATAACATTGGATTGCTGATGATGTGCAGTACATAGAATTATTTCCTGGGAAACTGCAAAGTGTCTGGTGGGTAACTTCAACTGGAACTACTGAAAGGTTCAGATTAATCGTTGGGATAAAAACCATGTAAACAAGTTTGCCTTCCTTTCCCAGTAAAGGATTCGGAATCTCAGAAGTTTGTGAAACAATCAGATGTCACTGCCTCACCTCTTTTTAAGTGCGTCTTTAACAATGCAAATAATGATGGATTGGAGTCGAGAAGTCAACAAGCACCTTACATCAGCACAGAAGCTGTGTCCAATTGCCACATATATTCCCTGTAAAGAGCACACATAGAGTCATACAGCATGGAAACAGACCCTTTGGTCTAACTCATCCATGCCAACCAGATATCCTGAACTGATCTAGTTCTATTTGCCAGCCTTTGGCCCATATCCATCTAAACCGTTCCTATTCATGTACCCATCCAGATGCCTTTTAAATGTTGTAGTTGTACCCACCTCCTCTGGCAGCTCATTCCATACACTCACCACCCACTACTTAAAAATAATTGCCCCTGGGGTCCCTTTAAAATTTTTATCCTCTCACCTTAAACCTATGCCCTTTAGTTTTGGACTCCCCTACCTTGGGAGTTCACCCTATTCATGCCCCTCATGATTTTATAAACCTCTATAAGGTCACCCCTCAGCCTCCAACGCTCCAGGGAAAGAAAGGTCCCAGCCTATTCAGCCTCTCTCTGTAGCTCAAACTTTCCATATAGCATTGCATCCTTTAAACAGACAGCGGCAGTTTTGTCCCTCTTTTGTCTCTGTTGCTGGATCACAGAAAACGTTGCTAAACACATGTGGTGCAATACTGCTTTAGTAATCTGTTCAGAACCAGTTTCCCCAGACAGGTGCAGGAAGCTGCGGGGGTGGGTGGGTGGGCGTGCAGAGAGGGCATGATCCGCCTCTGAATTTCTTGCGTGCGTTTGATGAGGAAAGAGAGCCACCTCCACAATCTGATGGTTTCACAACTCCGCGCCCGAAATTTTCAAGGTTACAGGTGTTCCAATCAGTTTCCACAACAAAGGGATCAACCAAATAATACAATACAATACAAAGGGATTTTAGGTCGAGGCCAACATTTTGTTTGGATCCCATGATGATGTCTTGTTAAGAATAAGTATTTAGTTAGTGGTAATCTTACAGAGCGCGTAGCTAACGAAAATGTCTCTGTTGAAGAAATGCACACTTCGCTTTTGTTTTAGGAATTTCTTTGCTACGCAGATTGGCATGTAGTAAATAGCTCAAAATACCGATCGGAGGAAATGGATCGTTAAGAGATTGGAAGTTAAACTAGTGAGTCGAAGGATCCCAGTGCTGAACTCTCCAAAAGGTCGATGACTAATTGTTCAGAATAAACCAGATGTGGAGGGTGCTTCACTTTATCTACAACACCCTGTGAATGGAATTACCCTAGAGCAGTTTTCCATCAATTAACCTATCAAGGACTAACAACAGTCACTAGAATATAAGACGTCTTGAGGTGCCTCGCAGAGGCATTTTAGAACATGACATTGGGGCATAAAGGCAGATATTAGGACAAATGAACAAAAGCTTTGTCAAAAATTTCGATTTTAAGCAATGTGATAATCGATAGAGAATGGAGTGGTGTAGCAACCAAACCAGAGTTCAGGGCTCCCCCATGTCATTATACTAGACTAATAAAGTATTGGCGTTCTAGAGATTTAATTTCCACTCAGACAGAGGGGGAAAGGGAACCTCGAAACGACCCAGCAGGCGAGAGACTACTGTCTACGCTATAATGATGTGCGGCAACTTCTGAAATCAACAAGTTGAGATCCTTGACATAACCATAATCCTTCCAGTCCGATGACGTGAGGTCCTGGAAACTCATGTTTAATCAGAATTCAGAACAAGCCCTGGTCAATACTTGTTTGTGGTTAGACATCACAAAGATCTGTGGGTCAAAATCCTGGCACTCCCTCCATAACAGCACTGTAGGCGTACCCTTCACCACAGGGACTGTGGCGGTTCAAGAAGGCAGCTCATCATCACCTTCTCAAGGGTAATTAGGGACGGGAATCAATGCTAGCTCAGCCAGAGACGCCCACGTTCCCTGAATGAGTCAAAAGCCAAAGGGTCTAGTCCCGAAACGTCAGCCTTCCTGCTTGGCCTGCTGTGTTCATCCACCTCTACACCTTGTTATCTCAGATTCTCCAGCATCTGCAGTTCGTACTATCTCTGAAACAATTTTAACCCTATTTTTAAAGAATGTTTTCAGTTCTATTCACCGTCAGTTTGATGTTGTTTACGTATGGTACAATAGTCATTATTTTTTCTGTTAGAATTTGCCGACGTGTAACTGTCAAAGTAATGAGAAATAGGTACATTTTTTATTTTAACTTGGAACCTCCGGTAGATTTGATATTTATCTCAAATACCAAGGCGCAAGTGGGGATCTATTCTTTCAGAGATAGGTGGAAGATCAGCTGAACGGCAGCGCAGACTCGAGGGGCCGAACGACCTTCTGATCCTGTATAAGTTATTTCAATGAAATTTCCTTGCCAGTGTATGTCGGTAAGGGAGGTGGACGCTTTCAGCGGCCACACCCTGATGCTTTATCATTATTAAATCAATGGATCATTATCCGACCTTGTTAGATCATGTTTGCTTTGCGTCTGACAAGTATTGTGCATGACCATAAAAGGTCCTGGCATGTTCGGAAAGCTGGTTTAAAAAAGCACAGTGGGTTACAGCATTGATTGGAAAATAGATATACAACACATGAACATATTTATTGATACAGATGATGTGAGTTTAGTAACAACACCTGGCTCTGTAAGGGTGAAGCACTGAACATACGCTGGAAGGACAAAGCAGTTTCCCACTGGACTCTGGAGATGCAGTATATCAGCCCTCGGCAGAACACGGCGTTGTAGTATTGTCCGACGCGAACATATTCACAATCATGATGGCACTGAGATAATTGATAGCACATCTCAGATTATTACTATCCTTTAGCCTTGATGCATGCTATCTATCCAACGTTACAAAACATTACTAAATCAGATGAATCTGATTGATAATAGTCCTTCAAATGTTACGATTGTATTTGGAATGATGCTTCGCCATATCCGTCTTCGGAATTCTGACAGCAAAAAAAAGTCAATTTCCGCAATGTTTCCCACCAGCTTCCCGTTTTGATTTGAGGCGCAATAATCTTAAACCTGACTTTCAAAAGAAAGCGGAGTGTCTCCGAGCTGGTCCGGCTTCCTTTGACGTTACACGCCAGCCTGCAAACGCCTCAGAATCCAAAACCAACCCCTTCCCATTTCAGTAAGCTCTGGGGAACAAACAGAGAGAAAGAGACAGGATTAGGCGCAGCCAGAAAGATCACAGCCACTTCAGCCTTATTAAACCGACGCTGCTCTGCAGCCAGACTCCACCACCCCCTTTCGGTAAGTGAATTCAGGAAAGAAAGCAGGAATCGTGTTCCGGCTAACTAGCTTGACAAGTTTTCCTTTGGCTTTGTCCAAGTTATCAGCTGTTCACAGGGACTGGAATCTCAATCATGAATGTGGAGGTGAGTGTGTATCATGGGGCATTTTCCCACGCAGGAAAAATAAAAGGCTGTTTGTTTTTTTAACAAGAAAATTGTAAAAACAACAAAAAATGATCACTTCATGCTCATCCTGGCATTTTCCTCTGTGCACTCGCTTAGGTAATGGGGTCACACAGTAGAGTATTTATCCACGCGACATGCAGATGCTGAAATACAAATGAACGTTATTTTTCATGTCTGTAAAGATTTTGAAATTCAGTTGTACGCTCTGCACTTATTCAACTTTGCAGCTAGCTGGGAACCCTTCGCGCATCCTCATTAAATAGGAATTATTTACATTCGCTAGATGCGTCGATACTTCAAACCCATGGGGCCCCTGAAGAAAGTGGGAGGTTTGCATGTATGAATTTGTAAGCACTTAGCCCCATAGCAAGATATTGGGAGAAGGTCACTCCTGTAAATGCCTCGTTTAAAACTGAGACGGTTGTTTATTGTTTCTTATATATAAAAAAGGAACAGCTGTTCTATATAACCAACATGTTACAGTTTTTGGAGATAATAGTCATACAGCATGGACACAGACCCTTCAGTCCAAATAGTCCACACCAACATGTTCCCAAACTAAACTAGTCCCACCTGCCTGCACTTGGCCCATATCCCTCCAAACCTTTCCTATTCATGAACTTAGACAAATTTCTTTTAAAAACTTTGTAACTGTACCTGCATCTACCACTTTCTCTGGCAGATCATTCTACACACAAATTCCTCTCTGTAAAAAGTTGCCCCTCATGTCATTTTTGAATCTTTCTCCTCTCACCTTAAAAATATGCCCCCCTGTTTTGAACTCCTCCACCCCAGGAAAAAGACCCTTGTCATTCACCTAATCTATGGCCCTCATGATTTTAAACACCTCAATAAAGTCACCCTTCAACCTCCTATGCTCCAGTGAAAAAAACTCTTTCCACTCTGTTTCTATTTCAAACCCTCCATTCCCAGCAAAATCCTGGTAAATCTTTTCTGAACCCTCCTGTTTAATATTCTTCCTTCAACAGGGCAAACAGAATTGCACACTACTCCAGAAGAAGCCTCACCAACATCCTGCACAACCTCAACATGACATCCCAACTTCTATACTCAAACATCTGAGCAATGGCAGCAAGCATGCTAAATGCCTACATGTGGTGCAAATTTCAAAAAATTATATACCTGAACCTACGGTCTCTGTTCTACAACACTATCCAGGGCCCTACCATTAATTGTACAAGTCCTGGCCTTACTTGATTTGCCAAAATGCCATGGCTCACATTTTTCCAAATTAACCTCCACCTGCCACTCATCAGCTCATTGACCCAATTGATTAAGATCACTTTGCAATCTTAGATAACCTTCTTCACTATCACTATGCCTCCAATACTCTCATCTAACTTATTTAGATCAGTTAACCTAGTACCAATCCCTGTGAAACACACTGGTCTCAGGCCTCCAGTCTGAAAAGCAATCCTCCACCACCACCCTCTGACTCCTACCATTCAGCCAATTTTGTATCCAATTGGCAAGCTCACTCCAAATCCCATGTGATGTAACTTTACTAATTAGTCTACCATGTAGAACCTTATCAAAGGCTTTTCTAAAGTCAATGTAGACAACGTCTACCACTCTGCCCTCAATCTTTTTGGTTACTTCACTAAAAAGTTCAAGCAAGTTTGTGAGACACAATCTTCCTCACACAAAACCATGCTGACTATCTCTAACCAATCTTGCCTTTCCAAATGCATGTAAATCCTATCTTTCAGAATCACCTCACAGGTTTATAGCTCCTAGACCTCCTTACAGCCTTTCTTAAATAAAGGCACAACATTAATCAACCTCCAGTACTTCACCTGTGTTAATATATGATACAAATATTTGTGCTAGGGGCCCTGAAATTTCCTCCCTAACTTCCCATAATGACCTGACATACACTAAGAATCATAGAATCCCTACAGTGTGGAAGCAAACCATTTGGCTCATCGAATCCACACCAACCCTCCAAACAGCATCTAACACAGACCCACCTCCCACCCTGCCCTATTCCTGTGACCCTGCACTTACCATGGCCAATCCACCTAGCCTGCACATCTTTGGACTGTGGGAGGAAACTGGAACACCTGGAGGAAACCCAGAAACCCATGCAGACATGGGGAGGATATGCAAACTCCACACAGACAGTCACCCAAGGGTGGAATCAAACCTGGGCCCTCAGTGCTGTGAGGAAGCAGTGCTAACCACTGAGCCACCATTCTGCCATACTTGATCAGGTCCTGGAGATTTATCTAAAACCTCCAGCACTTCCTCTTCTGTAATGTGAACTGTTTTCAAAACATCAATATTTATTTCCCCGAGTTGTCTAGCCTCCATTTCTTTCTCAACATTAAAAACTAACAATAATGTTACGGCCAAATCCAGAGGATGAATACATTCCTCTCTTTTCACTCCCGAGGTTGGTATAATAGCAATAATGATATGAATTACTCATGTCTCCTTTAAAATAGTGAACCTTTTCAATTCCATATTTAAAGCTATGTGGAAATATGCAAACCATGTGTAAATCTATGAAAAACCAAACCAGAGAGTTCTTGAGTTAGCAAGTGAATAGTTTGTTTTGTTACCATTAAAAACTCACTTAGTTAAAAGTATAAATATTATTTAAAAAGATAAATTTCATAATAAACATGCACTTACTACAGTGCAAGCAAACAGAACAAGGTACCTGGTGGGAGAGGTGGAATTTCAAAAAGGAAGTTAAAGACCATGAAAAAGAATTGTGTTTTCTGATGTTGGTCGTGAAGTTCCAGTGGGATTGTAGTCAAGGGTCGCCTTCAAATTACAATCAGTCCTTTTCCAGCATGGGTGCTGTGGCACTTGAATGTTTCTTTTATTTTTAAATTCTCTATCTCTGATGTACCCCAACTCATCCAAGCTTGAAAAATGTGTTGAGAATGAGCTGCTGTGCTATTAGTCCATCCTGCAGGCCTTTTGAAGGTACATTTCTGTAACAAACAGCTGTTAATGTTAGTTCTTCAAAGTACAGTTTCAATTATGTGACAATGGACAATTGGTACATAATGTACAGGCAATCCACGTTAATGAAGAAGTTCTAACCGCCCACTACCAAAGCTATCAGGATGCAACTGAAATAGATAGAACATAGAACATAGAACAGTACAGGCCCTTCGGCCCACCATGTTGTGCTGAACTTTTACATGAAACCTAAGGTCTATCTAACCTCCACCCCTACCTTATACTATCATCCATATGCCTATCTAATAGCCACTTAAATGCCCCTAATGAGGCTGACCCCACTACCCGCTCCGGCAATGCATTCCACGCCCCTACCACTCTCTGAGTAAAGAACCTACCTCTGACGTCTCCCCTATATCTACCTCCACTCACTTTAAAACTATGCTCCCTCGTAATAGCTACCTCCACCCTCGGAAAAAGTCTCTGGCTGTCTACTCTATCTATACCTCTGATCATTCTGTACACCTCCATCAAGTCACCTCTCATTCTTCATCGTTCTAAAGAGAAAAGCCGTAGCTCTCTCAACCTTGCCTCGTAAGACCTTCCCTCCATTCCAGGCAACATCCTGGTAAATCTCCTCTGCACCTTTTCCAATGATTCCACATCTTTCCTGTAATGAGGCGACCAGAACTGGACACAACACTCCAGATGTGGCCAGACCAGGGTTTTGTATAGCTGGAGCATAACTTCATGGCTCTTGAACTCAATTCCTCTATTAATGAAAGCTAACACACCATATGCCTTCTTAACAACTCTATCCACCTGGGTGGCAGCTTTCAGGGAACTGTGGACATAAACCCCGAGATCTCTCTGCTCCTCCACACTGCCAAGAATCTTTCTGTTAACCCTGTATTCTGCTTTCAAGTTTGTCCTTCCAAAATGAATCAACTCACACTTTTCAGGGTTAAACTCAATCTGCCACTTCTCAGCCCAGCTGTGCAGATAGAGACAACAAGGTGCAGGGCTGGATGAACACAGCAGGCCAAGCAGCATCATAGGAGCAGAGAGGCTGACGTTTCGGGCCTAGACCCTTCATCAGAAAAGGGGGAGGGGAAGGGGGTTTTGAAATAAATAGGGAGAGAGTGGGAGGCGGATAGAAGAGAGGA